GCATTCCTGGTGCTTTTACAGTATCTGGTAAGACGGCTTAGTTTTTTATAAAGTGGTTCTAAAAAGATGAATTAAAAATTATAAACCTATTCATAACCACTTGACAAGAATAAGCAGGCTAACATACAGCAATTTCTGCTAACATACAGCAATTTCTGCTAACATCTTGTCTGCAGCTACCCAGCTACAATTGGAGGTGGCTATTAAGTGTATGCAGACATTCAGAGACTGTTCACATGTTATGCATAACCTTACAGCTATCTATATCTCCACAGGAGAAAACAGCAAATGACAGAGTAAGGAGAGTTAGACTATACTTCAAATATGCTGTAAACTAAATACTACTTTAATTTCTCCAAGTCAAGACCAGCAGACTGCTCATGAAGCAGACAACAGTCTGGAGCATCGTAACAGTGTAAGTATATACTTAATACCCACTGTACACACACAAAGTTTAATCGAGAACCATCCAATTTGTAAGCTATGTAATATGTAATATTATAATTATTTAACTGTAACCTTTTAGACATTAAGAAATTTTCTATGATAGAAATAAACAGATGATCATAACTAAGACTGGTTTAATTACTTGCCAACATTTCAATGCTTACAATACAAAACAGACACTTGATGCTTACTGTGTCATCAGGCTTACCAACATACAGCCATCGAAAAAATGCTTTGAAGTTTTTCATACTACTGTCGATAACTCTGAGCAAGAAACAAGAAAAGAAATTACCAAATGTCATAAGGCACTCCAGGCTTACGTCCCATCTTTACTGCAGAAAGGCCTGCAAACACTATCTGATTTCTTTTTTAAATGCCCAGTACAACCTTCCAAGTGAGACTAGCCTTGGGGTGTGAATCTCTGAGATGCAGTGAGGCAAGATAAAAGCTCACCACCAACAGAGAAGCTTTGCTCTCCCAACCTCCTCTATTCCCAGCCACATGCTTTTCCATTGATACAAGGCTCAATAGGCATGTTTTATAAACTCTCCAGACATTATACTTACTGAAGCAGCTCATTTGCTTTCAGGATGAAAGAACCAACAGCAGTGATAGCCTCTGCAAGAAGAGCTAACCATTATTATTAAGCTTTCAAAAGTGAAATCAGAGTGGGTAAGTAGCACACGTACTACTGTACCTTCAATTCCAGATGCATCCAATCCCAGAGACTCATATTTTTGTTTCCATAAAGCCATTCCTTTCAGTTCACTCAAATGGTATAGCAGTGCCTCAGAGCCACTAGGAAGGCAGAACACAGAATAATCACCTTTTAGCACCCTTTGGAAATTCACCACATCACTCCATGCTATATTTTCATCATTTACTGTGCAAAGAGGAGAGCTTTGCAGAGAGTGGTGGTCTGGCACATAAGGGTTAAAGTACCACTTCACAGAAAAGCAAATACTGTCCTGATGATTTTAGCCACCACACAAAGATGGCATGAATTATTTTGCACATGTTCTATAAGCACATCAAGCAGTGATATACAGGTGAAGTGTCATAAAGATTGTTCAAAATACTTCAGTAGCTCTCCATTACCCAAAAGTAAAACAGTACATTTTGTTACAATCATGGTCTCTGCACCAGCACACCTACATAAAAGAACCACCAATATGCATACTGTTTTTTAGCAAAGCAGATTTTAGCTATAATTTATTGGATATTCTGTGACTTACCTCTGCAAATGACTTATGACCAACTTTTGTATACTGGAATAGGAAGACTCTATGGACTGACCAAGTTTTTTTAAGCCCTGTTAAAAAAGAAACACGAACACACAGTTCATGTTCTGTTAACTTAACAGAATAGTGATTAAAATATATTGAAATATTTTTTAAATGTTAAATATTAACATACCTTTACTGTCAGTTGATTCATTAGTAATGCCTGAAGCTCCAGACTGTAGAGGGCGGGGGAGAAAACCAAATAGGCATTCATTTTCTATTTCAGTATCAAATGCAAATGCATACTCAGATAAGACAACAGGAACTACCTTGCTTTGCCCCATAACAACAGCTGCATAAACTCATCCTGAACAGAAGTGGTTGTATTCTTTTCCTGTCAGTCAAAATGATTGAAATAGATTGGTGAAGAGATTAAATCCAGGCTATCAAATAGTCTCACAAACACTTCAATTAAAGTATATCGGAAAACTCGCCCCTCATCCTTGAATGCTGGAATCAGACTATTGATCTCTGGAGATTTTCTAGTATTTTAAGTTATTTTCAGTTGTATTACCCAGTAAAAATTCTAAGCAGTTTGCCACCACCAATAATCTGGTTCTACAAAAATAAAGAAATTATTTGATTCAATTAACTTCTAGCCACAGTACCTGGACAAACTTTGTTAGTCGTGAGTCCATCTGCATCAGTATTTCTTCCCACGCTTCACACATGCATGTCAATGACAACTTTATATACTGTAACACAGACAGAGACATCAGTGTTATTCCCTTTCTCCCCCCTTCAATACACATGCAAGAACTGGATGTTACAATACCAAGTGAAACTATACTGTAGATATTATATAACATTTATTATCAAATTCCAAGTTAGAGCTCTACATTTACTGAAAACCAACTTAAGCTTCGCACTAGAAAACATTTATTTTACTTATATTAAGAATATTGAAGCTGGTAGGAACTGTGATACTTAAAGGATGTTGTAATACAACTGTACCTGTAACAGAGTTGAAATGTGAGTAAATTTCCGGGCCATTCGAGTTACTTCAGGTAAGTAACTTGATAACAGACTAGTGTCCAACTATAACAAATGAAACAAACAACGGTTCACAGATGATGATTTGTCTTTCAAGAAATTTTAGATTACAGAAATTAAAAAACAGATTGGGAGAACCAGAAGAAAAACTGACATTTCTCATTTCCTACAGTTCATTTTAAGAGAGAAATGCATTTCATTCAAAGGGGCAATAAATACTTTTAATACATCCATAAAAAACTCCTGATAAGGTTCATCATTTTGGAGTTCTAAGAGTAATAGTTTCAAGGATGACTACTCTGGGTAGACTGGATAATCAATAGAACTGCTGCTATGCCTTTGTATGCAGAATGAAGAAAATCTGAGTAGCAGTAACTGAATAAATGAATGTCTAATTTAAACTAATATTTTAAAAGAATGTCTCAGATCATCAGCATCAGGCTCACTGGTGAAACTGCATGTTAACATGATAAATCCAAAAGCTAAATTGTGAATTTCAGAAAGGCTGGAAATAGTAGTTTGGTGGGGTTTTTTCTGCAAATAATGGGAAAGCAATAAAGCTACCAGGAAGCAATTAGAAAAGCAGTTTTACTTGTAAAGAACATTTTAAAATTACTTTACTTGCCTGAAAATATGTTATCTCAGCTTCGCTGTCTGAAGAGTCTCGTATCTCTGTAATAACTGACAGTGACTTCAAATCACTGGACAAACATAGTCCACGACAAGAACCCGCCACCTGAAGGATTCCAGTTTAAAAGTTAATGAAATATTGCATTTCCTCTAAGATGAATTCACTGCTCTAACACATACAAAGACAACTGTGGTCAACAACATGTAAAAACAAAGTGGAATTTTCAGTTACTGTTCAGGAGCAAAAGCACTCATTACTGTGGATTAACGTTGAACTTCGTTTTATTTAAAACAAGATGTTAAAACCACCAGAGATAGAATGTCGTTCCAACAATAGCACACAACCCAATCAAGAGAAACAACTATTCCTTTCTTTAAAACTCAGCAACCTTTTTTCACTTATATGTAAGCACACACACGTGGGTTTTTTTTCATTCATTTCAGCTGTAGCTTGGTGTATTATGAAACACAAATACAGAAACGAATGGAACATACCCCAGTTACTGTAGCAATCTTGAACATTCCATAAGCATAAATCTCAATAAATCCACAGCTGCCACCAAGGACAAGAGCATTAAGCCTATAAAAATAGAAGAATGTGTTGATGAGCATACTGAAACAAATTATAATGCATACAAACATAATTCTTTACACTTAAATTTCATCCCTTTACTAAAGATCCTCTAAAGAATCTCTGAACAAAGAGAAACATTGTGCTAATGTAAAGAAATTTAAAAACAAAACAAGTTTGGATGTCATTGATAAGACCTGCCTCTCACATTTACAGAATGAGTAGCAACTACTAAATTAACTAGTAGACTAGGGGGTAAAAAACCCCAAAACAATATAGGCAAACAAGTCCTTCTTCACTAACTTTCTATCTTCCAAAAGAAAAAAAAGTAGCAGTTTCTAGCAACAGCCCACCTATCAGTACAGGTTGCAAAGCATTCTTACAAAGCTACTTTTGTATTTCCAGGAGTTCATCCTAACTACACGCAACATAAGTTCGTTGCACTCACTCAGTGACACTCCTCAGCAAAATTGCAAAGACAATTAAGGTTTGAAATGACTGCAGCAGCAAAGAACAGGCACACGCAACAGCAGCAGAAACAGAAACGCGGTTCAAATAATAGAGCCTGGGACAGACAGATTTATGTTTTGCTCAGTTACTAAAACCAACTTGCTACAGTGACTTAGTAAAAAGCTTCTCTGTGACCTTTTTGTCTATGCTTAAAACATTAAAACTTAGACAGGGAGGTTGTCTATTCCTGTCATATGCCCATAAACTTCAACAGTGAGTAGGAATTACAGTGAGTGGTAACGCTCTCCAACACAAAAAATAAAAATGTTTTACAAGCCCCCTTATAAATACAAGAAAATTAACTGCAACTTCTGCCGGTTACACACCTGAATATATGTTAAAGGAGAATATTTTCATTATGGCCAAGACAGAACTTAACAAAAACTTTTGGTTTAATTAATTGAATGGATGAAGCACCTGCACTACAGACAGTGACCACGGCTCCCTTTAGCAAGGAAGTCCTACTATAAGAAGAGGTATCAAGTCTTAAGGAATAACTGGCGATAGACAGAGATGCCTTTTTTTTTTTTTTAAATAAGGAGGACGATCCTTAGTGGTGAAACTGTAAGAAACAGTGAAAAATGCAAATGGAAAACCAAGGTACTCCTCAAAAATGCACCACAAGCACACCACAAAACCAGTCTCATTCTGCTAAACTACACTTCCTCCAGCTGCTCCTGTATTTCCTGTATTTACCTTAAAGTAACCGTAATACAGCTGATTTCAGAGCTAATTTTAACTTTGCCACACTCATGCAAACTCATTTCCCATCTGTAACACAAATTTACGAATGCCTCCGAGACCCGCTTTAGTAACATAACATAGCCTTCAAATGCAGCCCAAGAAACTTCTCTTAAGGGAAAGAATATATGACACCCATAGCAGCTGCTGATAAAGTGCCTTGTAATCCCTCTAAATTGAAGAGGGAAAGTGTAAACTGATGGAGGCTTTAATATATTCTTTGAACTACACTTTTGTACATGAAAACAAAGAGACATTCCATATCCTTTCTCCAGGACCCTTAAAAACAGATTATGAATAACTTAAAAGTAAACCCACTGTATTCATTATTTTATAGCTGTAAATAAAAAACCCCAACAACAAAACAACCCCACAACCCACATACAGAATTTACCTTACATCGCCCAGAAGCTTCATAATCTCATCTGACTTTTCTTCACTGAAAATACAAAACGTATGATTAGGGTTTACATAGCTTGTCTCAATACCAGAAAACAAAATAAACAGAAGAAAGATAAAATGCCAATGTCTTACCTGAAAATTTTTGCAGTAGTACTGTAACTGAAAATAGAATAATTATTCTCAGTAACAGTGAACAAACTTCTAATCCAAAGCATCTGTATTCATTAGAGATTAATAACCAAAGACAACAAACAAACTGTATCTTCTCAGACTTACTAGTACAATGCTTACTTTTTTGGTAGCGCTGGTAATTTAGGCAAAAGGAGATTTGATTCATCCTCAGCATTGTAAAAGGACGTAAGAACACTGAAAAAGAAATAAGGCTGTCTTTACCACCCAAGCTG